CGTATACTTCTGTGCGCTCTGCCAGCATCCTTAACATGGCAGGGAGGATCGATTTGAATCTTTAAAAAATGAATTTCGAAAACCAGCATTGATTTATTAAAAAGTGTATGCAAAGACTACTTAACCTCATCCGTGCAATTGCCGCAATAAGGCGCCAAATCACTTAACAAAGAGTCCAGAAGTCGTTGGCGAATCTGAATAAGTCAAATTTCTTAGCATCACTAAATTACAAGTATCCATAGCTTAATTACTAACCACTGTACAATTACCGTATTCTTGTAACGTTCCAGTAATGTTTTGTGTGGGATTAGTGGTCGTACCACACGACGGGAAAGAATAAGTCCGATTTGCTGGCCACAAACCTATGCGGTCCCATTGACCCTGAATATGGTATCAGATTGGAAGTACTGTAAGATTTAGGTAGCATATAAGATACCTGAGAGATTACGCGCAGGAACTTATAAAGTCAATATCTCATACAGAAAAAAAGGTTTGATTACACAAATTCAAGGGAGGCACGCAAAAGTTCGAATGATTTAGCACCTGAGGGTAAGTTAACAAACCCTTACCATTACATCGCAAACATAGAACTCTGGGCCCGTTCTCGGATAGAATTTGTCCGCACATTCAATTTGGGCCTTGAGAAGTACATCCACTCCAGCCACTTTTTCAACTATGGCTTTGCCTTGCAGCTGAACTCATACCCTTACTTTGAATAATGGTTAAGTAGTAAAAGAAAGCTTAACCTAACCTGCTCATCTGGTTTTGGTATCTGACATTCGGCTGGTGAAACAACAATCGAAAATGAACAAAATGCTGTATTTCCAGCGGCATCACTACCAGTATAAATAACTCGATAGTAACCCCTAAACAGATTAGAAGTGGATTAATCTGTCCCAGCGAGGTGAGCTGCTCTTACCATGTAAAGTATTGCCCTGCACGATAGTTGCTTGTAATCGAAGTCACTCCCACATTGTCTACAAACATGTCCTCAGTGTCCCATTCGATAGGTGTTAGTCGAGTATCAGACACACTTCGTATATCTCGAGGGCATGACTTTACCATTGGTGGGATTTTATCTAAATATCGCATTTTTTACTAAAAAATTAGAATCAAGATAGAATAGAATTCACCTTTTGTATTGCAGCTAGACCTTCCAGGTAAACAGTTGGACACGTCGCATAACCCTGGGTACAACG